CATCACTCCACCCCACCCCAAAATACCAGAAGTCACTGATTAAACACAGTGACGTCTTCTGGTGCAGATTTCAGGGGCCCTGTAACGTGCTGCCTGGGCAGCGTGGTGACCTGCCATCTTTCTGTTCCTTACCTGGCCAGACACACGTCATCGGCTTCTCCACGCAGGGACAGGGGTGGCAGCCTCACCACTGCACAAATCACGTCACCTCTCTAAGTTCTCATTTCTCATCTGTAAATAGGAATGACACAATTGAATTCCCCAAATTATTATAAATTAGACATTATGTGGAACTGTAGAACCTAGGTAAGTCCTTTGAAACTCTGGCATGCTACAGTTCAGTTTTGTTCATCTTTCTGTGCTCTTTTTCATTTTTATTGAGTATTTGATTTGGTTTTCCTTTAATAACCTTTCCCTGGAGGTCAGTTAGGGCTTTGCTTTGAGCAGTCTGTCCTCGTGATAGGCAGCTTAGATTTCTCAGGGCCTCTCACGGATATAAATAGTCTTTCATTTACTTTCCCTGTGTGGGTGTTTTTTTAATTTTTGGTTTTTGGAGCACAAAGATAGGCCAATGAGTCGACAGAGATTGCAAGTCCCAGAAGTCTCTAGCCTTATCTATTCCTGGTGCTGACCAACACCAGAAACAGTGGATGGATGTGGGATGACCAGAAAGGGTTACTCGGTCTCGGATGCAACTCTATCACAACAAAGGGATTGTGTCTCTCCAAATTTTGTTGACAAATACTGGTTAGGCTGAGGTACCAACCCAGTGAGATTTGAAGTACTATTTTATTATTGTGCAAAGTAGTTATTCAAGAAGTTTCTTTTTAAAATCCTGTGGCTATCTTGACTGGATCTTATTTAAAGATTATTTCTAATGATATTACTTATTAAAAAAACCTCTGAGAAATAAAGAAGAAGAAAGACAATGAAATTATCTTTATTTTATGCCACAAAGACACATCTGATGATGTCATCTCAGCTTCCACTCAAGTACAACTGTTTCATGATTACACACACGTGCTATGTATATAAACATGTATGTATATGTGTTTTTTACATCCTAATTTTCCACTTAGCATTTTACTCCATACCCTGTATGTTATTACAAATGGCCTGAAACTCCATAAAGCTTATTTTAAAGACTTGATTCATGTTTCATTATAGATACGCTATTTCTCAACCTGGCCTCCTTTTTAATAGAACATCACATTGGATTCTTTTCCACGTGTTACTATTCTCTGTGTCCCCATCATTTATTAGCACTTTATTCATTCTGTCTCCACCAACAATAGGTAGAAATAACTACTTTCACAAACACAAGTCATCAGTGAATGTTATTTTTTTCTCTTTAGTTTCACAGATTAAAAAAAAAAAAACGATTGTTTTAATTTACATTTTTTGTTGCTTGGCTATTTTTGCGTGTCTTAGTATTTCCTCAGTTTACTTCAAATAATCATTTATTAAGTAAAAACTAAATGTAGGCCTGAGAAATAGAGAGACTCAGTCCCCAGCTTGCAGGGAGATTTTATCTAGGGGTCAATGTACTTTACTTATTTGCCCATTTGTATATTACTGATAGGGATGACCTTTTAACTAAAGGCATTGACATTTTATCATAATTCTAGAAAATATTTTTTAATTCCAGTTTCTGATTTGCCCTTTATTTTATTCTTTTTTACCATTTTTTTACATAAATAGCTTAAAATTTTATTTGTAATTTCTTCTACAGCTTTTAATTTTAGAAATTCCTTTCCTGAAGCAGCCAGAGAGCAATGAACCTATATTTTCCTCTACATTTTTCTTCTTCTTTTCTTTTTTTGAGATAGAATCTCACTTTGTCACCCTTGGTAAAGTGTTGTGATGTCATTGCTCACAGCAACCTCAAACTCTTGGGCTCAAGCAATTCTCTTGCCTCAGCCTCCTGAGTTGCTGGGACTACAGGTGCCCATCACAACACCCAGCTACTTTTAGAGACAAGGTCTCACTCTGGCTTAGGCTGATCTTGAACCTGTGAATTCAGGCAATTCACCTACCATGGACTCCCAGAATGCTAGGATAACAGGCACAAGCCACCATGCCCGGCCACTTCTACATTTTTCAATGGCTTAACTTGTTAAACTTTCTGGAATTTGGTTTGGTGTAGGAGGAAGTGTTGTACTATTATTTTTTTTCAAAATAGCTAATGATATGATTGAATAATCATGTTTTTAGTATTAACTAGTGTGTCATAATGTACAGCATGGTGAATATACATAACAATACTGTATTACAGACTTGAAATTTATTAGGACAGTAGATCTTAAGTGTTCTCACCATACAAAAAAATTACAATAACTGAGTCAGGTGGTTAACTGTGTAAATTAGCTCGATTGTGACAATCATGCCATTGAACACTATAAAAACATACAATTTTTATTACACCTCTAAGCTAGAAAAAAAATTCCACTGTAAAAAAAGAAAGTCCTAAGCTCTATCATTAATCAAAATAATTTTGCAGTCAATTCTCAAAGGTTTTCTGGTTAGATTAATAAAATTATATGCCTGCAAATAAAGAAAACGATTTCCTCTTATACAGGATGTTGATTATTGGAACTGTCATAGTATTAAAAGTTTACATCTTTGCACATATCTGCACAAAAATCTCTTCCTCTGAGACGTGTTTCTGTCTCCTGCTCCAGGAGCAGTACATTTTTATCCATCAGTGTGTGCAGCTGATGTGGATGAAGAAGAAGCAGCAGTTCTGCATCAGTGATGTCATCTATGAGAATGTCACCAAGTCCTAGTTCAGAATCTGGAAGGGTGAGTAGAGAGGAGCTGGTCTGTGATGTCGTCTATGAGAATGTCACCAAGTCCTAGTTCAGAATCTGAAAGGATGAGTAAAGAGGAGCTGGTCTGTCATGTCGTCTATGAGAATGTCACCAAGTCTTAGGTCAGAATCTGGAAGGGTGAGTAGAGAGGAGCTGATCTGTCATGTCATCTATGAGAATGTCACCAAGTC